GTGATAAAAAATACCCGGACCCTCAGTGCCGGGGATTTTTTCTGTAATTTGAGGCGGAATTTGTTACAATGAATCAAAGCAGTTTAAAGAAAGTTAAAATAATAAATAAATAAACAAATTGTGATCGCTTTATTATGATCACTGGTTACCCATTGGTTAAATGCTTTTTTTTCTGGTTTGACTCCGATAAATCCCACATTTCAAATGATGAATAGCAAAAACTGTCTCAATTGATGTTCGTCGTCAGATTGATTTTATGTACGTTTTTCAAGACGCCACAAAATACTTTTCCTTCTTCAGTATTCACATTTATATTAAAATCACCATCAAGATAGTAATTATAAGATAATAATGGAGAGAATATACAAATACTTTAAATTATTATTATGTCAATGCATTAAGAACAACCGTTGGTGAAAATAAAAGGAATTCTAAAAAAATTATCAAACAGCAGCGGTCGCCATAACAACGCATGCAATGACGACGCATGCGCACTGTTTACTATTATTCTTGAACACAGTTGAAAAGTGTGATGACGTCCAAATAAAGTGCGCACGCCATCAAACCCAAAACAAGACGAATTTTGACAATGGGTAAAAAAAAACAACAAGGATTCAAAGAAAACCGTAGTGATATAGAACGGTATTGACTCCTTCTATACGTTTGTTCTGCAATGAAAGTTTTGTTTTAAAAATGCGAGAGCATTATCTCCGAATGTTTCGCTTTCATCATATAGAAATAAAGGAAAACTCGACGAAAATCTCCTTTAATTTAAATGGAAAACAAAATATTCTTAAATTTAAATTGTGCAAAAATCTACTTCTAATAGTAATAGTTAAACTAATTTAATTATACTAACGGATGAATAATTTTGAAATTTCCTGTCGGCCACATCTGTTTTTACAAGATACTATTTCTTCAAGAAAATGCAAATAATGTTCAGACTAAAATATGGAGTTATTTTAAAAGGTGTGGAAACTCAGCTGTTTTGAGTAGACATTTCTGTTAAAAATAGACAAGACGTTAGATAATTAAATTTAAATTAAGAGTCATAGATGATGTTTATTTAATTAAATTAAGCCACGACAGTTATTTCTTTCTGTCTTCATAATTTTAAAAATGTGTCGTGTCTTAAAAAATTAACATTTGTACTTCTCTTTTGCTTTTGGAATTACTGTAAGAAACAGCAATAAAATAATTAAGTTTATATATAAGAAATTTAGTAAGAAATATAGTATTCTGCAGCTGTTAAAGTACACAAATAAAGTTCCTAGAATTTTTCTCTGTAAAAAATATTAAGTAACTACATATTTTAAAATCGTTTATCAATTTCAACTTATTAAATTAAATAAATGATGTGCAAAACACGAATAAAACTATTTTTATTATTATTATCTGAATAATAAACTCGAATAAAGGCTTTTACAATTTAAGCAAAGAATTATTTATTAAGAATATTTTAAAGTTGATAACCGACTGTGTTACTCTGTCTATTTCAATTAAACTTCATTTTAGTTCTTCTAATTAAATAAAAAAAATTTCAAAAAAAAAAAACTGCAGGAAAAACTAACTTAACAAATTAATTTTAATCAATTTCGCAAATTCTGTTAAAACGGGGAAAGTGTTTAAAAACATGTACTTTAAAATCATTAAAAAAAAAAGAAAGAAATACAGTATTAATTGTCTGAAAAAGCAACAGAACTTTCTTTAAACTACTATTCAGAATAAATAGTGACGAAATTCGAAGGAAAATGGATATATCAATATTTTAAAGCAAGTATCAACATTTCCGCAAGATTTTTATTTTTCTTAAAACCTGCAAATAAGGAAAAGTTAACGGATTTCAAGTAACAAGAAACCGGTCAGACATATTAAAAAAAGCGCCTGGCAGAAATAGCAGGATGTTGAAAGTATCAAAATGAAATTCCATAACTTTCTTAAGGTTAATCAAACAGGTTGTATCTTTCGAAGAGGAAATCGAAGTTCTTTGGTGCTAGTCGTGTAAAAATAACATGATCGGTAGTGTTTAATAGAGCAATAGAGATGTATTACGCTCTGCATTATAAAATTAGAGACTCTCGTATACCTCTTTTAAGAACATTGCTAAACTGCAAAACTTAAAACTTTATTTAAAAAAAAAGCAATATTTCGCAAATTATGTGGTATAGTTTGTGATACGATTATTATATTTTATATGAATACGATTGTTTTGAAATTAATTGTTTAGTAAAACAATTTAATGTATTTTTCGCACTTGCGACTATTAAGCATTTGTTAAACTGTTAATTTACACATATTTTAGGTATTTATTTTTATCATATGGTTACTCATCTTCGCTTAAATATTCTGATTTGAAAACTAATTTATTTAGTTATAAACACAAAATTTGAATTTTTATAGTTTACTCTTTCAAAATGTTCCTTAACCTAAATTTATTCTACTTAAAATTTATTGTAACCCATAAACCCATATTTAAACTGGAAGTGATTAAATTGCAAGGCTTTACATGAAGAATGGGCAGAAAATTCGAATAGTGCGGGGTTTATAAAATGTTTGATGCTTGGATTTTAAAGTATGTGATATGATTATACAGTAACTGTCATATCTTAAAAAGATATGACTAATTTGAAATTCATTTTAAATTCAGAGAAAATTGAGGAATTTGTTAATTTTACCATAATACTTTTACGCATGGCATAAAAATTATTTATTCGGTAAAATTTACTTTTCAGTTTTGCATTTTTAACTAAATGTATGGTAATAGGAACTAGAAATTCCGGTAAATCTTTATTATATGAACGGAAAGATTACACAACGAATGGTTTAAATATCGTAGATTTTGATTTTATTAACCAGAATTGTTTTTTTTTTCTAACCAGAAATGACATTACCTTACAGTACGGTAGTTTTACAAGAATTTTTTTCTTCGTGTAAATTTATTGAGTTACATAAATTTTAGATTTTTAATTTTTCTATGGTACCTTATCTTTTCTTAATACCATTGGTTAAAAAATCATTTAACAGTAAAACATAAAAAAATATTAAGTGCAGTTAAACAGAATGTTGAAATAAATTTTGTCCATTTAAAATTTATGGTCTTAAATAAAATTTGATTTGTGGAGAATAAACCGTAATGTAATGCTGAAAAGACACACAAATCGTAATGGAACTTTAGCTTTAACAAATATTTGAAAATGAAGTAAATAATTCAACTTAAGTATACGTGTTTTATTTTCAGAATAATGCGCTATTATTTGTATGAAATATGAAATTCAACTTATAAACAAATTGTACTAAAATAAGCTTTTATTTGAATACTGTTCATAATATCTATCATCTCATTTTTATCTGTTGAAACTTTTAAAGTCAGTCCCTACTAATCATTAAATGACCCTCTCCTCTCAGAGATAAGACTGCTAGTTGCCAAACTTGATAATAAAAACAAATAGTCCTATTAAATGGTAAAGAAATCGAATAAGAGATAGCAATATTTAAATGAGAGATAGAAATAGTGCAAAGTCGTTAAATTTTTATCACTATGAATAACTTACACATCCTAATGACGTATGGGTTTTTAAATTTTTTCAACACACCGAGAATTCCACTTAACTGTTAATGAAAGAGGCACTTTAAATAAATGGCTTTTAAACAACATTTTGCAACCACGAAAGCCAAGAAGCAGTTTTTAATTACGTTTCCAGAAATAAATAAAATTGTAGCATATTCTGTCGAAAAATATATTTTTAAAAGAATCATTAGAATTGGAATAGATTTTCAAGGACTTGCAACATAGAATTAGAAAGTCACAGATTAAAACGCAATATTCAAGTTTAGTTTATAAAATTCTTCTTTCAAAATATATTCTGAAAAATTGAGACTATTCAAACTAAATAAAGTCTGCTCAAAGCTATCCTCTCATCTTAGAAGCATTAGTCAAAAGTTGAGTTGATAATTTTGTACGGAAATCTCAATGTCTCTTGATTTTAAACCAGCAATTATGAAAAACATAAAAACACGAAGAAATAATACGCTTCGTTAATAATATTTATGCCTGCATTGCTAATTGATTATTCTCGTCATCTTTATTTGTCACTGTTAAATTAAGTTTAATTCGAAGAGTGGATTCATAATTTTTAAGGAGTAAATTTATAATTACTTGAAGCTCGAGAATTTTTTGTTATTATATTTATCCGACTATCTATTAAGCTTAAAGAGTCTCTTGATTATTTTGCAAATAATTAAAGGCTAAATATTATGCAGCATGGTTATTTATTAGTCTGTTTTGTCATTTTGTTTTTTACTTAGTCGATCAGAGAAAAATAATTTAAAATCAATTAGACATAATTTTAAAAAAATATAAGAAAAAAATTTTCTGGTAGTTTTTTTCCAGAAACTGATATAAATCTTTTAGTCACGCAAATGTCATACTAAAAATTGAATGATTTTCATTGTTAAAATAAAATGAAAATTAAAATACTAATTTTTCTCAGGCCAGATATTTCATTATATAATAATTGTAGATCTCTTTCACTTTAGATTAGTTACTATTTTTTAAGACATAAATTATGTTAAAAATGGCATTTACCTGAAAAGAATAAAGCATTAGTTTGATTTCGAATTGATTAAAAATAAGTTTATAATCAGCAAGATTGTATTGTCACAAATGAATGTTAATTAGAGAATTAGATATTTTTAAAGGTCCTCAGAATGAGATGAGATTTAAGCAACTGAATTTAATCCTTTCACCAATAATAACAGTTACGGTTTCGTCTGTTTCCTTTACTTCAATAAATAGAAATTGAAAAAACAATGCTTTGTTTTCAGAGAGAAATGAAAAGTATTAAATTAAAATATTTCTTTCCAATGATTCAATAATTCATCCGAGTTTGTTAAATAATTTTGCATAATAATTGCATAATAATTTTGTAAAATATACATTAAATCGTAAAAATCCTATATATTTAAAAATGTGGAATAAAATAATTAAATATCACACATACCTGGCCGACAGGAATGGATGCTGAAAACAAAAGTGCCAACTTCATTGCAGTAGGAAATGGCAAACGAAGTCTAGAACAATTGACTCCCATAGCAAAAGCGACTAAAAGCTCATGAACAGCTACACCAATCACTAAATTTACTAGTGTTGGGACTGACGTTTGAAGACCTAATGCAAGCCCTTCAAACAGTGAATGAACACCTAAAGACACCATAAGCATGCCTAAACGTATACCCGATTCACCTTGAATCATTTGACCAATATCATGGCTATGACCATGACCATGAGAATGTCTATGACTGTTATTGTTCTGAAATTTTTCTGGAGATCCAAGAATAGAATCTGTATCAAGGTTACCTCCACACACTTTTACCGATGTTTTATCTTGGTTGTCGCTGTCATAGTCAAGAATGCTGGTGTCGCAAGCATCTTTTAAAGCGTAAGAAGCTGTTGATGCGGCAGAGTCTAATTTAGAACCATCCTCACTATGGCCATCGGGAACAGAAGAGTAAGATGATCCCTTTTTTTCTCTATAATCTAAAACGCATTGTTCTATTCCAAGAGCCAAGAGGAAACCAATAAATATGACAAACTCAGTAATTGGAAATTCGCTTGATATTTTATATTCTTGAAAAACGTCAACAAACATGTCTCTAACTTCTGGCATTAAACCGACAAAAAATGTAGCAATAAATACACCTCCGGATAAACAATTGGCCAAACTGATTGCTATTTGATAGCGAGATCCATCAAAGGAGTTAGGTTTTCGGCTCATCCAACAACATGGAAGTATAAATACTATCACCATGCACAAAAAGAGACAGCTGAGACTTGCAAGTTGAGCTGTGATGATATGCATTTCGAAATGTAATTTATCACAGAGAAAAAGGCTTTCACAAACTGTAGAACAATTTATTTGGCATTTTTTTCGATATAAATTTAAAGTTATATTGCACACTTTTAAGTAAAAGAATGATTTTTTACGTAAATTAGTATCATGTTATTCGCCAGAGGATTCAATTTGTTAAAATAGTCGTCTTTCTTATGCTCAGGTCAAGAACTCTCTCATGTAATCTTCAAGGACGAACAAGGTGAAAAGATAAAAAAATATGTATACTTAACTGTTCTTTCATGCGTGATTAACTTATAAGCTTTCCGGTATAAAGTATTTATGGAAATTTGACTGTAACAGATATTAACACTTCTACTAAAAGCAACATCTGTTCCACTTCATTTTATGTTTGCTTATTCGGAGGCATGATAGCTTAACCACGCAGTTTCCATTTATAACAATGATAGTACAGAATACTTCTTATTTGACAGATGTTTTCTCAAAAATACTGAAATCTTTAAACCTTTCGTATGTTTCATGGATTCTACGAGGAAGTCTGAAATAAAAAAAAAACAATAATAGGAAAATAGATAAGATTTAGAATACACACATAATAGATCAAGGAATTAAGTAAAGCCTACAGTGATGTGAAAAAAAATCACTGGGCAAAACAATTTTTATAAATTCCTTCAGCTTTTGGATGTTTTTCCATTCATAAATTTAAAAAAAAATCAAAATCTTTCAAAATATGTATACAAAAACTGGATATTAAAAGCATAAGACAGTTAATAATTTTCATTTTATTTTTATAGTATTTAAATGAAAATAACAACATGCATAACCAGAGACTTTTGCACGCCAATGTAAAATTATGACGTTTTGATATAAATAAATGGTTTTATCGCTAAATTAAATAATCAGAGTTACTTCATTGATTTCAGCATACAAAAAATACAGTCAGAAGCTAAGCAAACCAAATCATAGTCAATTTTTTAAATCTTTAAATTGATAAGATGCGGCTGAAAAGTCAAAAGTTATAATCAAACTTCAGATCTGTAATAAACTAAACTATGTACTTGTTTTTTTATAACTTAGATTACACTCATATTGAGTATGCTTAGCTCAAATTCACTGAAAAAATCTATGGGCTGTCAAGTAAAGTATAAGTTATTATTAATTATGATTAATAATTATTATGATTAATAATTATTATAATCAATTGATTACCATATATTATCTGGGTTTAATAACCCCAAAATTTCAAGTGTGGTTAAAAATCCTGTCAATATAGGGAAGGGTTTCCATAAAAGTTCATTTTTTCTCTTACTAAGCAAGTTTCAAGCTCTGTTAGGTTGTAGTTGTGTTTGTTAACCCCCCCCCCCCAAAAAAAAATAATAACTTTCCAGAAAAATTATTCAGAAAATTTTTTATTCATCTTTAAAAATAGAAAAATAAATTTAATAAATAAAATGCAATAACAGTTGTTTCAGTTTTTCTTAAACTACCTTTTGTGGAATAAGTGCGAATAAATGCTTACAATTTTTCTGGTATACTGTATAAGGAATTTAATATCACAGATAAATAAACATGTCACCCGATTAAATCTTTCGCGAACCATTCAGGAATGATTCGAATGCACAAGCGTTTTCGCAATGCAATTGTGACCAATACCCTAACACTTTCCAAAGCTTAAAATCTTTTCAGCTATAATCTTCAAATAGTATATATCTATCGCAGATTAAAGTCCTTTCCTATAAATTATTGCTAAACTAAACTCTTTGTTAGAGATTTCAGTAAATGGAAGATTTGGATTTTGGAGTGAATTATAAGGAAATTTTCGAGTTTCTGATTAAATATTTCTTATATATTTTAATCTAATGACAAACTCAGTATTTTAGATTATTCGCAACATTACAGACTCTTGTAAGTGGATAAAGTTCTAGCCACATCACAACTTATGTTAAGCATTTAATCATTAAAACCAGTATACAGTGAAAAATACTCGAAATCAATTATTATATCGCATATTTAATAAGTAATTTCCATCTGCAACTTTTTAAGCATTGCATACGTTATAAAAAAACTCCATATCAACTTATGGTAAATAGTTCTGGCACCCTGAGTTTTCCGTCAGATTTTTCAGGGGAAAAATAGGAATTTTGAGAGATTTTACTACCTAAAACAAAAAAAAAAAATGCTGACCAAAAAAGTACATGAGTACGAGATAGAGTGAGAGCTTAGATTTGAAATTCTTATATCAGAAAGGATATTTATGTATATTTGGACGATAACCTTTTATCTGCCAGAATGATATTTTGCTGCAATGAGATTTTTACTTAAATAGTAGCATATTTGAGATATAATGATTTTAATATTTCCATTGAGCTAAAAAATATGAGCCTAAAAATGTTAAAAATTTCAGATAAAATTGCAGTAAATGTACAGCACCCTGAGTGCAGCATCCATAAAATCCATTTTAGCTAAAAATCCATTTTTACTCTCAAATTTATGCCATAGTTTTGGCACTAATATTCATTTAATTACTACCATTCAGTAAATTATATTGTTATTCAGTAATTAATATTCAGCAATAATTTAAAAAGAAAAATAAAGAAATGTAGAGTTTATTGATGTGATAGCTAGAAAATAAGTTATAATCTAAACATAAATATTTCGATCAGTTTTATATAAAAAAAAATTACTAATTACAATAAGTTTTTAAAATAATGCAATAAAGCTGTACGATCGAGGATTTTTTTAATGAACTATGATGAAATTTTTATATTTCCAACATAAATATGTTTAGTTAGTTCTTTTAGTCTTAGTACATTGACTTTTAGATTCGATATACTTTTATTTAAGTGATAGACTTTCTTAAAAAAAGGACTTAATGTTCAGTTTGCTACTTTTTGTTAATGTTTCTAAAAAGAAGCATTAACAAAACACACATTTCTAAAAAGAAGCATTTGTGTTGCTTATGTTTGAGTAAAGAAGATAAAAACTAAATTATGTATAAAGCAAAATGTACAAATCAACACTTTTTCTTCGTTTGAAACTATTTCTTCAATCTTGATTTTTAGTATTTTCAAAATATACTTGCATTTACTATAATAATTTATTTATACAAAATACTTCAAAAGCCGCTCTTCTCTTCAACGTTTTTTCTTCTTTTTTTGTAATTTCAATGAAATATTTTTAAAGAAATAAAATATATGTTTCGAAAAAATGAAATTTCTTTTATACAGTTTAATTTAATTAGGGCGGAATTAAAAGTCAGTGTGATTTAAAAAAATTAAAATACTGCGTCATGATATGATTTTTTAAAATAATTCATATTTCCTTAGACAACATTTCTAAAGAATTAATAGGGAAAAATACTTCCACAAACTTTGTTTAGTTTTCTCAATGTCATTTAAAATATATGACCTTAAATTAACATTTCCTTCCGCAAACAAAAATAAATAATTTCACAAAGCACGAACTTGAAAGATTTGTCGTATTTCGAAACAATAAAGAAATCAATTTCTCAAAGAAAAGCCAGATACTTTCAACTATTTTCGTTAAATAACACGGACGCAACATTCTCTTTGTTGACAGTGGAAATTCAAAATACAATATGAACATCGAAAAGAACAAATCAAGTTTCTTCAAAAAAGTAATTAACTCGAAATCAATTAATCCACGAGCAAAGTAAAACGAAAGATATTTTAGAAAATTAGCTTTTAGTTGTATTATCCAAAACGGAATTATTTTTGTTTTAAACGAAAAAGGGTATTCTTCACTCACCTTTCTAAGATTAAATTATAGTTATCAATTTATAAGAAGTAAATCTTGCTGAAGATTATATTGTAAATTATGGGTCACAGCAGCAAGAGTAACTTAAACTATATATTAAATTGTTCAGGTACTTTAGTCTTATTATCCAAATCGGAATTATTTTTGTTTTAAACGAAAAATAAATAGGAGTATTCGTCACACTCCTTTCTTAGATTAAATTATGGTTATCAATTTATAAGAAGTAAATCTATCTAAAAATCATAATGTAAATTATGGGTCAAAGATGCAATAGTAACTTTAAAAAAATTATATCTGAAAATGTTTATCTACTTTAGTCTTATTATCCAACGCAGGAATTTTTTTCAAACTAAAAAGGGCAACTGTGACTGAGCAAAACTCATGGGATACCCACCTAATATCTGGTTGGGCCCCCTCTGGCCCTGCGGAGTGCAGCGATACGGCGTGGAAGTGAGTCTGCAAGGCTCTGGAACACGTCCGAAGGTAGTTGGCACCTGCAGAGCGGCAGCCAATTGTGGCCTGTTCGTGGGTTGAGGATTCAATGTCCTGAGTCTGACGTCGAGGGCATCCCAGATATGTTCAATGGGGTTCATATCAGGACTTCGAGGTGGCCAATTCAGTCATTGGATCTCACCTGCATGCTCGTCAAACCAGGCACGAACGATATTGGCGCGATGTGGGGCTGCGTTGTCATCTTGATACACAACAATATCATCAGGGTGTTGAAACATGACAAAAGGGTGGAGATGGTCTCCAAGCAGCTGAAGATACCGCTGACCAGTCAATGTATCATCCAGAATGACCAGGGGGCCTATTCCATGCCACGAAAATGCACCCCACACCATGACTGATAGGCCACCAGCCTGTGCCCACTTGGCATGCTGGATTCATCGCTTCCTGCGGTGTGCACCACATACGGTGCCTCCCATCAGCATGGAACAGTTGATAACGTGATTCGTCAGACCAGATCACGTTACGCCACTGTTGCAGTGTCCATCCGTGGTGATTGGTGGCAAATGCACGCCGAATTGTCCGATGACGCTGGGTTAGCAGTGGCACACGTGTGGGGCGACGGCTCTCATACCCGAGAACACGCATGTTCCGACGGATTGTCCACTGGGACACGTCTCTATCACGGCCAGTGTTAAATTTAGCAGTGATTTGTTGCACATTTGCTCTCCTATCTCGAGTTACCACTCGTCTCAGGTTTCGCCTGTCTCGGTCATTTAGGGCCTGTGGACGCACAGTATGGTGTCTGTTGTGGACTGTGACACCCTCATTCACCCGTTCTCGGTAAACTCTCGACACGGTTGACTTTGGGAAACCGAATTCCTGACCCACTTCCGAAATGGAATGTCCCATGCGTCGGGCACCCACAACCATGCCGCGTTCGAATGCCGTCAACTCACGACGACGTTGCATTTTACCTGATCACTCACACAGCCACTTCAAGCAATGTCTAACACACAACTGAGACCGTCGCGGAGGCCACCAGGTGGCGTTGGTCACACGTTCTGTCCATCCACAAATCAGAGCCCTGCTATCCCATGAGTTTTGATCAGTCAGTGTATATTCAGACACCTTCCATAGATTAAACTATAGTTATCAATTCTCGGTAAAACATGACATTTCCTACATGACATGTCCTACATGACATTTCTTGGTAAAAATTTTTAAATAGCAATTTATTAATTGTTATTTTACCATATTCAACCGAAACAGTCAAATAACCATAAAAACGATGATGTTTAAACAGTTAAG